AGTGGGGGGTCGTGCGATGAGGTCTGTGACTTTCCAGCTCGGGGGTGGGCTGGTTGTTAATGTTGAGGTCTGCAGTTAGAGGTGGGTGGTTAAATGTCCACCTCCAAGAATCTCCCCTGATTCAGGAGCAAGTAGGATATTTCATCTCTCACCGTGTTTTCTGTTTCTGTTGTAGGTGCAGGTAGCTGTCTGGAGACTCTAGAAAAAGGAAAACCACTAATAGTAGTAATAAACGACAAGCTGATGAACAACCATCAGCTTGAACTGGCCAGACAGCTCCACAGAGATGGATATGTCCTCTGCTGTAACTGCAGGTATGCAGCTGCTGTGGCTGTCCTGGCTGGGCAAGTGCTCAGCACATTGACTGTGTTACTGCAGAATTCAGAATGTACCAAAGAAATGTGCATCCTTCTTTGTCACCTCCATTTGTTTCCACGTTAGATTTTCCAGAGTGGACAGATTAACATTACATGCTAATTGACCAGACTTACCAAGCCTATTGACCGTGGCCCCTTTAATTATTTCTTTTTTCTTTGAGGGCACATGTATTCAGATTAAAAGAGGAAAAATTTAAAGTAAATAGAAGTGGTTGAATTTGGAACAGTCAGGTAGGATCCTAGAGGCACCTAAAAACTATTGTCTTTCTCTGCTCTTTCTCACTACTTGTGGGATTCTTTTTTGAAGTCTAGAAATAATACAGCCTAGACCATCAGTTTGCAACCACAAACCATGTGGAATCAGTTCCTCCCTGCAGACTCAGGACTCCATCATTTTGCTACATGCACTTTCCTTGTGAAGGGCAGGAGCTGAAGGTGACTGTGCAGCTGCACTAACATAACAAGATTAGAAGTATCTGGAGTATTTAGAACAAAACATAAGAATGGCTTTACTGATACAGATCAGGAGTCTACATAGCTGAGTCTCCTCTTGGCAGTGGCCATATACAGATGCCCAGCCAAAAGCAGAAACAGGGCAAGAACATGTGGTTGTATTACCTTCTTCATAATGCCCTTATATACTTTGATTCAGGGGGATTCCTAAATCAGATGCTGTCTGGTTAGTACCTTAATACCTCTGTCTTTCAATTACTTATTCAGGCTGCCCTTTTAGCCAAACTTTCAGAATCCAATATATTCTCTGACAAGGAGTTTCACAGATCTACTGCTGGTCATTTCAGGGGAAAAAATAAAACAACCAAACAAAAAACACACACAAAAAAAATTCCCAAAACAAACAACACAGAAAAAAAAAATCCCCTCTCCCATCAAAAAACTCAGCTCCTTTTGGTAGTTCGTATTCATCCTGGCTCCTGTTTGTTCCATTTCCTCTCCTTTTGGACTGTATCTTACTGTTTTCTCTTATGATAGACTGCACTCTAGAAATAACAGATGACCTATAAATTGAAGGCAGAGGAAATACAACTCCTAATTTTTAGTCTGTCTTGTTCCTTTGCCCTGCAAATAGGATTTCATATGTTTCAGAAGAGCTTTCTTAACAGACTAGCTGTGGCATTCATTTATATTGAACAAGTTTTAAGAAACTTGTTATCTTGGTGCTTCTGTCAGCAATGGAGACAGGAAGGAATTTTTATTTCTTTTTGTTGGGCAGTGCCAAGCATTTGAGCCTTGTCTGCAGCTTGATAATAGCAAGGAACAGATTGATGTAGCAGTTCTTTATGGCTCTGGGATTGGTGGAGAACTGTGCCATGTGTTCAAATAGGATGAATTTCCTGGTATGGTTCATGGAGAAGATCCTTGGATGTTGTTCAGTCTCCCAGCATTGCAACCACAGAAGCTTAAAAAGTTAAGGAGCTGAGGTGGTCTGTGAAAGCTGAAGTATGTTCTCAGCAGTGCTGCCTTAAGAGGCAGTTCTGGTTGGGGCCTGCTGCTCTGTGAGGTCTCTTCCTTTCATGTCCTTATTTTGGTTTCCATGCTAAAGGATTACGTACGTTAAGCTAGAAAGAAAATTGTGTGTATAAAAAAATTCCCTTTGGGATGGATTTCTTTTTTTTAATCTCTGGGTTTGATCTGTTTTTACAGCACTCTTGTGGAGACGCTGCAGTTGATGGACTTGTCAACTTTGAAACCTTTTCCGCCTGGACAGCCAGAAAAGTTTGCTTTGTTCTTGGATAAAGTTGTTGGGTTTCAATAAACAATACAGAAGAATAAAAATGTGAGAAAAAAAAACAAACACTTTTCTGCTCTCGTAGTGGGGTCTTCCCATACTTAAGATCTACCAGCCTGGGCAAATCCTCAAAGAAGATGTCTGTTAATATTAACTGGCATTAGATGGTTTCTAACTTAGTGCCAGAGTCATCCAGCTTTATGCTTAAAAGAGCACAGAGCCACCCAGGAGAGGAAGAGTATGAACTGTCTGGTTTCACGGACTGACATATTTACATCACAAGATCTCCACTGGGATGGTAATTCCAGTGATGAGGACAAGCTAAACTACTTCTTAACGGGCATATGTACCAAGGATGGGTGGAATTCAGTTGGTTTTGTTCTGCAAATAAGCAGATGCCTTCTTCATGTGCTTACAGAAATACTGTAAAGAGAAGTCAAAAGGGAGAGATTTAAGCCTCTTAAAAGAGAAAGGGGCATGTGGTGAATCTGGGTGAGAAAAGTACTGCAAAGCTGCTGCTGAACTGCCCACCAGCTGACCTGCGTTTGGGTGATTCACTGCCAAAGTAAAACACAGGAGAGGAATGGGCTTAGCAATACAGTCACTCCATTTACACGGCGTTATCCCCATAGTGACTTAGTTTGGGCTTCTGTAAAGCCCAATATTTCCTATTTAGATTAAATATTGGGAAGAAATTGTTCCCTGTGAGGGTGGGGAGGCCCTGGCACAAGTTGCCCAGAGAAGCTGTGGCTGCCCCATCCCTAGAAGGGATGTTCAGAGGCAGGTTGGACAGGGCTTGGAGCAACCTGGGCTAGTGGAAGGTGCCTCTGCCCATGGCAGGGCGTGGAATAAGATGATCTTTAAGGTCCCTTCCAACCCATACCATTTTATGAATCTGAGGCTGATTCGAGCTTCCCATTTAAACCATTGAAATGGTCAACTATGTTGATTTGTTTAGGTAAATGTTTTGAAAACCAAAGGGTTTACAAATGTTCATGCAGGCTCTTAGGTTTGTAAAGGTCTGGAATTGCAGTGCTAACTAGTGCTAATTGCCCTTCCTGCAAGTACCTTATTTGTTAGGGATTTTTTACTGGTGTTGTTTAAAACAACAAAAACCCCCTGATGTTTAAGTGGAATTTTTATTAGGAAGTTGAATGTACATAGAGGCATTCTCCTAATCAAGTGGAATAATCAGGCTGTACAGGTGTCATTTTTGCCGATCCCCGAAGTTTACCCCAAGTACTTTCTTAGGAACAATTAAGATTTTCTTGTCCTTAACGATTTTTATAGAGCTGTTATCTCAAATTTACTGCCAGCAACTTGTCTCCGGCCCGGGAGCGTGGAGGGATGTCCCAGGGAATTCTGCATAACCACGGACCGATGTTCGCACTGGTTGCATAGCCAAGGATGTCGAGCGATGGGGCTGAAGGAGTTGGCTCGGCACGGGCTCTCAGCGAGGCAGGTCGGGGGGAGAGGGCTGCGCGCCCGGGGCGGGGGCTGGAGCGGGCCGGGAGAGCGGGACAGCTTAAAATGGCCCGGGCGGGGGCAGCTCCTGCGGGATCCGGCGGGATCCGGGAACAGGGAAGGCACCGGGGGCCGGGGGGTCCGCCGGCCGTCCGCGGTCAGGTGGGCGCAGGCCGCTCATTAGCGCCTCATTTAGGCGGCGGCGGCGGCGGAGCCGCCGCGCGCCGCAGTCGCGTCCGCCTCAGCCGGGAAGATGCAGAAGGGCTGGAAAAAGTACTTCGGGCAGAAGTCCTTCAGCGAGGTGGCCATGGACGAGTACCTGGGAAGTCTGGGACTCTACCGCAAGATGACGGCCAAGGACGCCTCTTGCCTCTTCAGAGCCGTCTCGGAGCAAGTGGGCAGCCGGCCGGGCTGGGGGGAGCCCGGGGCGCCTCAGGCCGAGCGCCAGCGGGGCTGGGCTGGGGGTGCTCCCGGAGCCCCCCCGGGTGCCCGGAGCGAGGTGGCGCGGGTGGGGATGGAGGGGGTGTGGGTGTGGATGGGTGGGAAGGTGTGTGAGGATGGGAGCCATCACCCCCGGGCGCTCCTGCTGCCGGCAGCCCTCACGTGTCCGTGACCCCCCGCACCGCCCCGGCTGTGCTGCTGCCAGCCTTCACAAACTGCGGGGGAATAAGGCGAGCGCGTGAAACAAGCGCTGAAGTTTTCTCCTTCGTTCCTCTGTAACTTTTATTTTCTTCCAGCTGTTTTCGTCTCAAATTCATCATCTGGAAGTTAGGAAAGCTTGCGTCTCCTTTATGAGGCAGCACCAGTCCAAGTTTGAATCTGTGAGTAGCTGCGTCGGGACTGTGCACGTGTAGTTGGGCAGAGCTGTGGGAGGGGTGTGTGGTTCGCACTACACACGCCCACATGAACGTGCTGTGCATCCCCTGGCTTGCCGCCTGTGAGAGAGAGTGGCAGGGTGACTGCTCCCTTACCTTATTTGAGTTGCAATCACACCCCGAGTTACTAAAACCCGAGTAACAGGGCGAGAGTTATTTGTGTATAATCTCTACGGAGCAGCCATTGCAGAAACGAATAGGTGGGAAACATGTAGGCCTTTAGAGTAAGAAGCAAATATCAAAAGATAGTGGAAGATTCCAGTATGTGTGAAATCATTGCATGGAATCGTGGGGGTTTGGGGTGGGTTTTTTGGTTGGTTTTGTCTGTGGCAGTTTGTGTGGGTGCAGCTGCGTGTATGGTGGTGGTGTGGGTTTTGGGGGTTGTGTTTTGGGCTTTTATTTGGTTGGGTTTTTTCCCCAGTAATCATATGTAAGTGCGTAATCTAAACTAGGAGGGAGATGAGCCACAGAGCATGGGTCACTGACTTGTGCTCCTAATTTTTTTTAGAATCTCTGGGTATTTCCACGTTGGTACCCCAAATCATTCCCATGATTTAAGGCAGGGAAGAGCTAAATTCCTACCCCTGGTCAGGCCAGAGCCCCTCAGAACCCAAAACTGATAGGAATTGGCAGACTAGTCCTAAATTTGATGTTTATGTCCTCAGCCCCTGCCCTGCCCCCTTCCATACAACAGCTAGTAGGTGTTATGTAGGTTTAACTTTGTTTTCCAACTGCCTAAGTTTTTGTATTTGTTTTCTTCATTGTTGAAAGTATGTGGAAGGCTCATTTGAGAAATACCTAGAACGACTAAGAGATCCAAAGGTAAGAACTGATCTAATACTTGTCAAGAGACTAAAATTTGAGGAGACTAGAAAAGGAACGTAATTAGGTGACAGTTTAAAATGTGCTTGAGTTTGCAATTTTTTTAGATGGACCCCAATCCCGGGGTCTCATTTGCATAAGTAATGCTAAGGGTTTGTGCTAAATAACCATGAAAAAATTGTTTGTACGGTACCACTTTTAGTGGGGAATTTGTATGGGTGCAAAGAAGCAATCTCTGTAGGCTGGGCAATAAAAGCTTACTCAAAATTGCAATTCTCTAAGAAAAAAACAAATAACATGGAGTATACTTCACATTAAATGTTTATCAGGGTTTGCAATCCCTTGCTTCTTCCTTTACCCCCAGGTCCAAATACCAGAGTTCAAAGTTTTATTTCTTTAGTCTTTAAGCAGTAAGCTTGATCAATGCCACAGTCTCTGAAAAAAATGTGATTTTAATTTCAAAGCAGATCTGTATTGAGTGATGTGTTTTAAGAGCTGCTGCCAGAACCGTTCTGTTTTACTCATTTTGGTAATTGTGGCTATCCCATCCTACAGACCCCTTTCACCACACCACACTCTCCTCCAAATCCTAATATCTCAACTTACAGTGCTTTGATTGTTTTAACAAACTGATGAATTTGGATGGAGGTTTTAATACTACAGAGAGCTGGAATAAAGTTGTTGATGTTGAAGATGCCTCTAGTCTTTTATGTAATCTTATAATCTTACGTAGGAAAGTGCTGGCCAGCTGGAAATAAGTGCTTTATCAATGATGTACAAGTAAGTATCTGTTTCTTATGTGTCCTTGTTTTTGGGTTGTGGCCCCAGAACCTTCTAACTCTTTGTCACTGAGCTGTGGATGTGTGAAACATGGTGAGAAATGCTTCCTTAACACTTAACTAACATGTAAATGGTGCCATCCCAGCTCCTGTGGGTTAAGGGGAGGGTCACCTTCCAGGGATGCTCCTTTGTTATCTGTTTGTTGATGTTAAACTTTCTGGTGGCTGAAGGATGGAAAATGGGGAAAAACAAGGGGCTGTCTGTAGTGGAAACACTGTGGTAGTTAAAAGCATGACTAAAACTCGTGTGAGTCTTCTTGAAAGCACCAGTAGTGAGGAGTACTTGCCCTACTTGGTGCATAAACCCTGATGCTTATTTCAGAGGTAAATTAAGCCTGCAGAGGTGCTGCTGCCTTGCTAAAAATGCTGCTATCCTCTAACAGGCTGGCTCTCCAGTGATAGAAATAAGAACCCTCCCTTTGCAGGCTCGTTGTGCCCAGTACTAAAGGAACAAACTGAAGTTTGGCACGAGTTACTAGTTCTCTGTACTGGGGTTCTAGTCCTTTTGCAGGGGGACTGGTTCCCTTAGTGATTGTCTTGTAAATTGTAAATTCTAAAAAAATAAATTGTCTCAATGTCTGAGCACCCTTCTACCAGCATAAGTCCTTCATTTCATCTGTGAGTAAATGCCATGCACTTTCCTGGATAATTTTTTTGTTCCTCTCAAGATGGGTGGTGTTTACTCATCTGGCCATTGCTTTATTGGGAGCAGTCACTTTTCAGGAAAAGTACTTCACACGATTTTTTTGTAAACCAACGGTGGATTCTCTAAACAGTTCCCTGCAAACTTCTTCATAACATGGTTCTACTACAAGTTTGCTCTTGTAAGTCTTGTTTTTCCTCTGCTTACCTAGGCGAGACTTCATTCTGTATCGGTACCCTGGAAAGCCACCCACATATGCCACAGACAATGACTTTGAAGACAAGGTGAGCAGAAGTGAGGGCAATTTCCTCCTACCCCTGGTATCTACTTACCTTCAGTCCTGCTTAGTTGTAAAATCTTGCCACTGGAATTGAGCTCCTGAAACTCTAGTGCCCTTGCATATTTGAACAAAACCACAGAGTTGACTTCAGCTCACAGAAGAAGCACAGGGTTTGCCCAACAGTTAACTCAGTTATAGCAGCTTTGCTTCCTATCTGAGCAATGGATTTGTATGCTGTTCCCTGCCATTCTGTTCTGTTACTCCTGCTTAAAACTTTGATTTTGATAGCAAGAGGTAATATCACAACTCCGTAATATTCTTTCATGTTTCTGAAATCTTTGTGTAAAAACACTTCCCAGGGCAAATTTGAGTAACCTGACAGCATAGAATGAAATGTGTTGAGTTACACCAAGATACATTTCTCATACTGGCAAATAGAAGGTGTTCTCCCCACCCCTAGTGCCACTTCCTGAAGTCAGATGAGGCGTGCAGGTTTTTTTCTTGAAGAGGAGAAGTTAATGGGATTGGACTGATCTATTAAAGCTGATTTCTGTGACGTACAAACTGATGTGAGTTAAGGATGGGAACTACTGAAACAGCTTGTCTACAGCAGAATTACTGCTGGGGGCAAAAGGAAGGAATATAGAGGAGAAATACTATGTATTACCTTCCCTCTGAGCCCTCTTGTTTTCTGCAGCCATGCAGATGTGACTAGTTCAGGCACGATTCCAGTGAAGTTGCTGTGGTGTGATTTCAGTGTGGGCTGTTATATTTGCCAAAGTGGCCAGTCTGCTCTGAATCTGTGCTGCAGCAGCTGTTGATTTCTGCTGATTAGTATTACTTACTTGGTTTGCACTCACTTCTTTCTTTTCCTTTGTAGTTTTCTGTGTAGCTTAATTTAATTCCAAAATGAGCTGAGTTTAAAAATCAAGCAGTATGGTTTAAATGTGTGTTTGTCCTCCAGGGCTTTACAAAAGCAGAGCTCTCATTAAGTGTTGGCAACTGTCTGTCATTAGATTGTACATACAGGGAGCAGCTCCTTCTGGTGTTGCTCATCCTCACTGGAGGGGAGAGCTGGTGTTGGCAGAATACACAGTGCTCACAGAATGAGGAGCCCTGGCACCCCAGCCCCTGCTGGCTCTCTGGAGGCATCCTTGCTGGCAGTGTGCTGGTAGCTGCCTGACAGCTTCTGCTGGTTGCAGTTGGCTCTGGCTGTGTGCCAGGGTGGGCTTTGATGGTGCACATTCACACCGTGTGCCAGTGCATCTGCTGCAGGAATCTGCATGCATCCCTTCAGAAAGCAGCACAATACTTCTAATAAAGAGTTAGGCTTTGAGGGCTGGAGAAATAAATGCTCTTCTTGTCCGTTGCATAAAGAAGGATGAAATGTGCCTTTGACACTTGGACAGTGGGTCTCAGGGGTACTGCATTTAATGGCTTGTATTTATTTTACCTCTTGAGCAATTGGTAGTCTTGGAAGTAAGGTGGAAACAAACTCATATTTCATGTTTAATACAGCAGGATGTACAAATTGATGCTTTTTGTATGATAGACAAAATTTAGAGACTTTACCTAGGATTCAGTTTTAAGCTGATTCTACAGCTTTTTCATATTTGTATTGAGAATATTTATTGTTTTCTTGGTGAGTTGGTGTCAACTATAGAATGAAAGAATAATGTAGTCTGGAGCTAGGATATCAGGTAGAAAGAATTTGGATTTACATAATTCCAGCCTTAAAGCTTTTTTCTTTTTTTGCCCCCTTTTTTTTTTCTTTTCCAGATTTTACTGTGTTGTTCCAGCAACGGCCATTATGACTCTGTGTATACAAAACAATTTCAGGAGAATGCTGCTGTTTGCCAGGGTAAACTTGAAATCATTTTTCTATGAAAGAGAATTACATGTTTTCATATGTTTATAGGCAGGGTTTGTTTCAGGGGTGGGGAGAAGAGAGATGGAAACTCATTTATTGTATGTTAATATAATATACACTCATTTTTTTATCTGTTAAAGTGGGATATTGGACCAAATGACTTCCAGAGATCCCTTCTTCCCACCTGAATTACTTATGATTCTCTTCTTAATTAAATTTCATATAACCAGTGCTTTGTAACAGTAGATATATCTGAAGATATGCTTACCTTGAAGATTGCAGCGGTTCTTATGAATCTCATATTATCGAGGTTTTTATTGATCAGCTCTATTATATGAGGTCCTATACAAAGGTGTGTTTGGCATGGATGAGGAAGAATTAAGGTCTGCAGTTGAGGTGTTTCGAAGTGGATCCAAGAAGAACAGAAACAGTGGTCGTGTAGGAAGTGAGGATGCAAACTTCGGTTGTCTTCATGAAAAAGTACCCAGAAATCCATCAGAAAAGAGGTAGTATTTTTGGGAAGGGGATCTGGAAAAGGGAAGCAAAAAAAATTAAAAGTCTTGCAGGGGACAACTTTTCCAAATTTCTTTGAATTTTTATGGAATGTTAACTCCCTTTTTGCTATGCCATGACACAAGCACACACCTCAAGTATGTCGTGGAAGAGTAAATTGTGTGCTTTCCTTGGAGCTGGGAAGTGTCTTGTGATTGAATATCTTCTGCTCTGGGCTGTGTTACAGTTGTGTCTTACTCTGTAAAATGACAGCTTATTTGTAAGGGAAATTGTTCCTTATTTCATCAAAGCTTTTTTATTGTTTGTTTTTTTTTTTTTAGTGAGACACTTAGTACTCTTCTAAGCCTCTACAGCTCTGAAAGGCTTGAGAGCTGCCTCTGGCCAATGCTAAATGCTTGGACATGGCTTTGATGGGACCTAGAACAGGGTGTCTTGTACTTGACAGTGCAAGAATTCAATCACTCAGTGGGATCACCCTCATCCTTTTCTAACTCAAGCAGTACCCTCATTAGGAGTGGATGTTGGAACAAGTAAAGGTTTTGCTCTTAAAATTTGGAAAAGGATTATCCTGTACTGCATGGCACATCACTAGTGTTTAAGGCAAAATCTACCACTTGATGGCACCATGGTGCTTTTTCAGGTTGTATGAGCAGTTGGTTGATTTGATCCTGGCTAGAAATCATGTGTTGTATCTGTTGTAATCTTGTTTTCAATTACTTAGGGTGGATGGCTGGGAAGGCAATGATGCTGACAATCCAGAGGAAGCTAAGTTCAAACAAGGCATTGAAGAAGAAAAGGTTTGTCAGTTAGAGAAGAAAACTTTACAGTTTGTTCTTGGTTTTTTCTGTTGTATGTTGTTACCCTTGTCAGGGCTAAACCCTCTTTTGACTTTCTAAAAACGGATTTTTGAAAGTATGTGGTTTATTTTTTCCATCTACTTTTGTCTTTTGGTTTTGTCCTCCTTTAGTTTCTATTAAATTGGATAAGCCTTTTTCCTTTCTGAAATTCTCTAGTTCTTCCCCTAGCTAATTTTCATTTCCACTGGAAGATGGAACTTAGCAGATGTTTCCTGGTCTGTTGTTTGTTTTTCCCCAGAAATGGTTTAAACTGGTTCACTTTTCTCTTGTCTGTAGTGTGGACTCCATTTGTAGAGTTTTAGAAACTCTACAAAAACCTGTTTTCAGATATAATACCTGAAATTCCCACCAATTTCTGAGGTCATGGCTTCATTGGTCTGGTTAGATTCCTTTGATTCTTTTTAAATAAAAAACATGCCAAATGTTACTCTTGAGCCTGTTTCTACCTAAATGTGTTTTCATATTCTTGACTTTTAGTTTTTAGGGGATACAGTGGAAGTGAAAATTTCGCGAAGTAGCATCTGGGCACTTTAAAATGATCCCCAGGTGCTGACAGGTTAGAGGCTGTGCTGAACACAGGAAATGCACTTGTTAATGTTGCATTTCAACTCTGTTTTAGCCTTCAGAAAATCCTCCAAAGATGCCTGTTCCTTATAAAGTGCTGAAGGCACTGGACTCTGCAATCTATCGAAACGTGGAGTTTGATGTTTGGCTGGACAGCAGAAAAGGTATCTTTGAAAAGGGGAAAGCCAAAAAACTCTTCCTGTAGGTAGGACATGTTCTTGCTAGTAGCTGGTTTCTTGTCTGCAATTCAAAGTACAAAATACACTGCTTTTGATACTGTGTAATGGTACAAGGTTGCTAAAAATCTGCTCTCTGCTACTTACTGACTGTATAGAGGAAGTAAGAGGACTCAAAGCAAAGTACACAACTCTGTGTTGCCATTCTGTTGTGCTGGAAACCAGCCAAATTTGAGAATTTTTAGTTACAGTATGTGTGTAAGGACTTCTTTTTATAGCAGATTTTGGCCTCAGAACTGTATAATAATGAAGATCTCAAATTTAATGTTGAGATCTGTCAGATGGGTTTTTCTCCTGCTTCCCAACCATCGTGGACTTTTACATTCTGGAGAGATTGCATGGTCTTTGTGGCTTGGGATAGGTTGGCTGCTTTTTGGCATACACTGTGGCTGATCTGTAAAGCAAGAAGTTACCAAGAAGGATAAGTTTTTAAGTGATGTTTGATGTCTGACCTGATTTGCTTTGCCCACTGAAGAACTCCAGCATTTTAAAACTGCATAAGCAGTAATGTGGGTCATTAAAATTCTTGGAACAGAGTATAGTAACCAATTATCTATGTGGAACACTGATGTGTAGAGAATCCAGGCAAGGAATTGAGAGAACCCCACTGAAATCTGGGAGCAAGGAGACCTTAGGCAATGTCAGCTTTTCTTGGATAACATTTCACTTTTGCCAAGTGCCACCAGGACTCTGTCAAGACAGGATAGGCCCAAAATTCTGAATGCCAGCATTTGCACTAAATGTGGGATTAACTCTGTATCACCACAAAGACATTGTAGCATTGAAGTAGTGGTGTTACTTACTGCATAGTCTGGTTATTATTGGTCTGTGACTTGGCCTGGTTATGGTCTGGTTTAGAACATCTGCAGTTACTTCACTGTTACTATGGGGATAGTTTTCAGGTATACATAGGAAATGACAATTGGCCTACTGGATGCTGTCATGAAGTACTTTTGGGATACAAGAAGAAAGAACAGGAGTTTAAAGGCTTTTTTTTATTTTTATTTATTTTTAGAGCTTCAAAAAACTGACTACATGGTGTTTGCTGGGAGACAGTACTATTTAGGAGACAAGTGTCAGGTTAGTACTCAAAGGAGACTCAGTTATGATAAACTATTAAAACTGCTTAAAATAGAATATGGTAAACCACTTTATTTCATAGAATTTTCCAAGGCTTCTCTCATTCTCTTCCATGTAGCAATTAATTTGACTTTCTTTTTAATGTAATTTTTTTCTAAAATCTCCCCTTAAACTTTGAGTAGTGTGAAGGAAAAGCAGTTTGGAAATTCATTGTGAACCAGTCATACACATTCTGTGTGTGCAGGCAGAGAGCTCAAAATGCACAGGGTGTGCTTTTGAAGGTAGTTGTCTTTAGAGTTTTTCACTGGGTATCAGCAAAAATTCTGGATGGTCTTGTCTTTCTCAACAGTGATGTAGCAAAATACTTATATAAAATAGAAAGGGAAGAGTAGCATGATGTGGCCAGGAGATGCTGAAAGGAAGGTCAGTTTTCTTTGTATTCTGATGTTGTGTGTAGTCAGGGCTTATTTTTTTTAATCACTGTTTAAAGTAGTGCTGATGATTCACTTAGTGACTTGTTTCTTGCTGAGCAGAGCTTTCCTTTCCAATTTCCTGTTTTATCTTCTGTTCTCAAGTTCCTAAGTAGTAGTCTTCCTTGGTACTTATCTGCTTGGCACAGTGTATAAAAATAAGTTAGGGAACAGGTATCTTGCCTCTCTGGCACTCACCAGACTGATTTTATTTCCTTTTCCCTTCCTTCCTGAAGGTAGTACAGTGCTCTTTATTTTGCCTGTAATTTCAAGAAGTATTTGAGACTCCTGGGCCAACTCAGTAACACAGGCTTGGCTGGGAGCAGCCTTTGCTATTAGTGGTTTGTGGCCAATATTCTGATGCAGTTTGGGGTTTTTTAGAGCTCCCCTTGTTGTCTCTCCAGGTGCGTCTGGAGCCGGGAGAGAGGTATTACAATGCTCATATCCAGGAAGTTGGACAGGAGGGCAACACACTGACTGTATTTGTTGAGGAGCTGGCAGAAAAGTAAGCAGTCTGCTGATTACTTCAAGTTTGAACTCTTTCTAGTTGAGTTTCTGGGTTCTCACAGATGCTTGAAATGGGATTGTTAAGGTACTTGGGAAAGAGAACTTTGACTTTTAAATAAAAGTGAGGCATTACTTCCTTACTGGCTGTCACTCTTCAAAGAGAATATTGCAGGACATTTTTTCTCTTGAATTTCTGATGACCAAAATCATTATTGTAATGCTTTCTGTGGAATCTTGCTACTCTTTATTTCACTGGAAAGTGAAAGTGATCTTTGCAGTTTACCTTAATTCAGAGATACCAAATTACCCTCTGCTGTTGTTTGGAGTTTTTATGTTGTACCCAAACAACTAAATAACTGGCACTTCAGTGAATCGAATCCCTTTCCCCCCCTTGCTGTTTAATCATTCACCCTTTACCAGGAAGTAAATAGGGTTGAGACTAAAACCTAGGTTGCCCCTTTTTATTAAACAAGTAGCAATAATGTGTGCTTGGTGTCAGAGAAACAGCTTATTTATTTTCACAAGCTATTATATTTTCTTGGTGTTGCTTCAGCTTCTGTTGCTGTGCAGTTGTGCCCAGTGTATCCTGGGGGCACTGCTGACATCCCTGTGCTCTTTGTGCAGACATACAGTTCCTTTGGCAAACTTGAAGCCAGTGACTCAAGTGGCTCCTGTCCTTGCTTGGAACATGGCTCACAACCGAAGGGGAGGAGCCTATCAGAAAATAACAGGTGGACACTTCTCAGGAATAGGTTTGTAGGGGGTTTTGAGAAGCACTGGAGCTGGGGGGAGTAGGGGAGGCACTCGTGACAGTTGTAACTGTAGCAGTCTTTGATATTGGAAGTGGCTTAATTCAGCTTGTGATACAGAACTTGGTCGCTGCAGGGGTTTGATGTAAAGTTATCTTTCAGACAGAGATGAATTTGCCTTTGCAAAAGAGCAAATCCATTGAAATACAGAGCAAATTGGTTATTGGCTCAAAATTACTGAAAACAAATTTGACTCTTGAGAACCTTATGTAAAGACTGCATCAGTGAACCAGAAAGCTTGTCTGATTTGGCATTAGCAGAGATGCATGGGTGGACTAGGGCTTCCCCAGCCAATTAAATGTGGATTGAAATTGTTTAATTCGGAGGAGTTGTGGTTTTCTTATTTTTATTAAATAAGTTCAGCCTCCGTAAAGAGATTTTAAATACTGAGAGTACTGGTTTGATTAGCTGAAGGTGGGAAGGTACTTAACATGTGAGATGCTTGTGTTCTCATAATGTAGAATACCTGCTTGAGCCTTCAAAAGAAGGACCTGAACTTTGCATAGGTATGATGCACTTTTTCTGTGATAGGCTACTGGCTGTTCCTTTACCATGTGTCCAAATACTAGATCTTCTCAAATGATAAAGAGAATATAGCTCAGGTTTAAGGTGTAAATCTGTCTCTTCTGTCCTCAATGAAAACTGCAGAAATGGGTATGAAAACACGAAAGAGAATGCTTAAGAAAGTTCGTGGCAAGGAAGTCTTTATGACTGTGGCTTATAGCAGGGGTCAGCCCCTCCTTCCACCCCGCCTGCAGCACAGTGTTCCTTCGGGGCGCTCTCCTCCAGTTCACTGCTCCCAGGGTGGTGCAAACATGGCACCTTACAAACCCTATCATCAGCAGAACCCTCAGAGACATCACCGTGGATTTGGGATGCTGAGGTATGAAGTCTTGGAAAACTGTCTTAAGGTGACCACTTGTTTTCTATTCGTTCTTGCTGCAGACTAGTTAGGAGAGAGTTTGTGCTGCTTAATAGGTAAAACCACAGCTGAGTTCCACCTGAGAGGCACTTCCTGGTAATTGCACCTTTCCCCCTTTAAACTCAGGGGATCTGCCCAATTTATAAACAGGCACAGCATGGTTGGCCCTCAAATAGCATTCAACCCCAGTCCAGGGAAGAGATGTTATCAGAGCTATGACAATTCCTCCTGCAGGTCCTGGTAAGTGACCGTGAACCTCTTTTACCAAGCACTGGGGAGGATGGTGGGACACGAAGGGCTGAACTGGCTGTTAGTGGCACAGAGGGGTTCTTGTGGCTCTGCAAAAAAAAAAAATGGAGTTAAAAATGAGCACCAGAACAGTGGTGAAACTGTAGCTGGTGGTGGTTCTTAACCTCCTTTCTTCTTGAAGCTCGTACAGCCGGAGCCGCCGTCAGATGCAGTGTGAGAACAAGGAGTGCCAGTATGGGTTTATGGCAGGGCATGGAGAGGAGCCTCAAGGGCCAGAAGAAACTCTGACTTTCTATGAGATTGAAGGAGAGAATGATGCTGCTTTTCCTACCTTGCCAGTAAGTTATGAACAAAGGGTAAGCTGAAACCTCTCAAAGAGAGAGGAGGAGGGGAAAAACTGTACAAATGCACGGCACTTCTTTACCTAAATATGCAGCAGCTTTGGGGTTTTTTTCTTGGAATAAGGCTTAGCAGTGAATGTCTTTGAGCATGGAAGACTAAAATTAGTTGAGATCCTGTAAAATCTGCTTAAAACCTCAGTTTTTCGAAATATTCCCCTTCTTTCTCTGTATCCTCGCCAGCAGCACTTGTTTTCTTCTTAGTATATTTTCATAAACATAAAGCCATGTTTCTCCTTTCTGTTGCAGTTTGAAAAACAAAACAAAATCTCTTCCTCCTGTGGATGTCTGTCTCACTCTAAATGTTGTGGGAGAAAGCTTTTCACTTATTTGCCACTCTGTAATTTATTGTTTGAGTAATGGGATTCAGAAGCTGTATGGTGATAGCCTGGATTGTTTCTGTGAATTTGTAGTTGGGTAGTTTTGAATTAGCATATTGTTCCTGCAACAGTGTATTCTGCTATAGAAACAGGAAAAAATACGAATCTAGACTTCTTGTAAAACAGTCTTTCTGTTGATTTGTAGATAAAGTGGCAGAGTGTATTCTTAAACTTTAAAATACATCTTTTTCTTTTATTTGTAGTCCAAGCCTAGTCCAAAACTGGGTGTTCTATCAAAAAAAAACCCACCAAAAACAACTGATAAAGAGGTATCTGAATAGGAAAGCAGATCTTTTAGAAACAAACAAACAAAAAGTTTGGTAGGTTTGAATTTTTTGAACTGTATTAAAGCAGAGAACTTAACAAATGTCTTTTAATGAGGGAGAGGGAAGGTGCTCAGGGTTGCTTCAGGAGCAGTCATATTTTCTTTGCCCTCATGCACTAGATCTTTAATTTTTGCTCTGATTTTTCTCCAAGAGTGTCAAGGAATAAGGACAGATTATCCTGCCATTTCTTCTTTCCATATGAAATCAGTGTTGCTTACTGGCTTTTCCTCCCCACTGCTAGACTGTGTACCTCCAGCTCCTAAGGAGTAGGTTTTCATGTTCATTCACTGACTTTGGTACTGTCAATACCAAAGCTTTTTCTCTGTCTTGTTTAGTAAAGGAATATGACATTTTCTGGGGAAAGATGCATCCCACAGAGGACTCTGCCATCCTACTAGAGGCCTGATGGGATAATCTTCTGACTTACAACCTCTGCTTCCACTTTGGAAATCTTTCAGGCCTCTCTAAGCACTTTATCAATCTTTTATGTCTTCTGAGGAGAATTTTGAGTGTCACCTCAGCCATCACAAAAGAGTGAATTGAGTTCTTTTACTTGAGCATCTCAATCCTATAGTCCTGCTTCAGAGAACTATATCTTTTAAATTATGGTGTAGCTAGGCACTGACTTCAGTGCAAACACAAAGGGCATGTAAAATGTTGGAGTCCTTTGGGAAAACTTGATGGGTGCTGCTCTCTGAAACAGTCAGGCTTGCATGTGTGGGTCGAGTCAGTGCAGACAGTGGTGTCTGTGCCAGCAGTAACCCCTGGGTTTCACTGGTGGTGACTAAAGATAACCTTTGTCCATGATAATTGGAGTATTTGGATGAACTGATCTGCTGTTAGTAGATCAGATGCTCCAGGATGAGGAATGCAGTAATATATGTTGGAGGGAGCAGTCTTGGCTGTTATCTGGGGTCTCCTTCCTCCTTTTCAGCTTTGTTAGAGCTGACTGAGTTCTGGGAGGAAGCAACTTGACTGCATAGCATACAACACTGGTAGGTCTTGAAATAAAAAATTGCCTTAGGTATTCTAGGCAGAACAAAAGATAAAGGAAGGAAATGTGCCTGCAACTGTTTTGTTGCAGTCAAGTGCATAGGAATGGACACACAGATGATACTTGAGTAAGCTTTGGTTGCAGAAAGCTTCATCTGCCAACCTGTTGCTACTGTGTGTGTGCATCTGTGTGGAGCATGGAAAGGCTTTAAATTATTTCTAAATGCATGCTTCTGAGTTTGCTTTTCAGAGCCAGAGTAGTCCTGCTCCCACTGTCCATAGTCCATCAGGATTTTGGGTAGCAAGGAGAAACCAGAACTCTGTTTCACCTAACAAGCAGACCCTGAATTCCTCAGAGGAGGAGGAAGCAATAAGTGAAAATGGTGAGTTCTTAAGGGATTAGTAGGCAAAAAAACAGATTTATAAATTTTTCAATGTGCTTTTGATTGTCCAAGGGGGGTCCTCACACCTCCTAGAGATCTCTTTGTTGTGAGCTCTGAATATGTGTGTGAACACATTATATTTCTTTGTTGTCTGATACAAATGTGTCTCTTCTGTTTAAGCTGCTATACCAGCACCTTTGTGGAGGTTTGTAGCAAGTTAAGTTGCTGCTTAAAAATGCATGGTGTAAATTTGGTAATGTCAGCCTTGATAACACCATTTGTTCTTCCACTGAGTAGCCTTCAGTGTTTATTTACTTTTTCTACACAAAGCAAGATGATACTTAAAACATGTTAGTAATGGATGCACTAAAATGTAATTGTAACTCCAAACTTTTTTTTTTTTCCCCTTTCCCTGAATCAAAGCTTCCTGTTCTATCTCCCTTGTAGGAAAATTTCATGAAGAATATATCTATGCACCTCCAGGTAAGTAAAAATTTAGTCTTTACTGATAGAATATTTGGTGAATGTAATATTAAGACATTTTTATATGTTTCTGAAGGATTAGATTTAATGCAGCTCTTTTCAATTAATTTTGCCTATGCCCTCCAGATCCTGACTGTGAAAATGCAACAGTATTTAGTTCAGCAGAACCTACAGCAAACTTGGTAAGCTTTAGTCACAGTCTGTTCAGATGTGGGATCCTTGAGGTGTGTAGTATTCTTCACAGGAAATGTCCTTGGATGCAGGCTCAACACAGCAGGTCAGAGGCTTCTTAGAAAGGCATGTTGGTTTCATTTATACATTCCCCCTCCTTTTCTCCCTAAATAGTGAGGTTTTTATCAGCAGTCAAGTTTGAATTGCACTGGATACATGAATGATTTTTCATCTTTTGCTCTGTGGAAGAGAAAATGTCTATTTGAGTGCTGTTTACTTTTCTTTTTCTACTCCAGACAGCACTTGCTTTTATCATGCTGCCTTTCAAGTTGTATTCCAGCTAATCTTAGTCCTCCACTGTGGGACTGAAGAGATCTCATCTGTGATAGAACTGACCTTGGAGTTTTATTTTTTCTATTTGAAACTAAGTCTTTAGTCACCTGCTGCTCTACAGTGGGTGTGAAAGCAGTCCTGTGCATGTCAGAATAAAACTGCTTTTACTTGAGCTGTGAAAGATGATCTGTGTGGGTGTATAGTCCATAAATAAAAAAACAAAATAGGAGTGTGGGGTGTGTGCCTTGTGGCTTCTTTGCCACTTAAATGGACCATGCTTGGTTTTGGAATCCCTTCAGGAAGAAGGGCCTGTCTCGGTGTCGCCTCACGAGGAAGTGGCTTCCTACAGCTATCCCCAGAAGGTAGTATCTGGTACTTTATCTCCTACTTTATCATGGTAGCCCTGTGGAGAGGAAACCACTCTGCTTGCCTTGTGTCAGTTTGTGGGGGTCCCCTACAGCATCTTGCAGCAAAGATTACAATTTGCTGCAACAAACCCAAGCAAAACAGAAGAGCCAGAAGATGCCTTGCAGGTGTCTGTAACTCTAAACTGGTATTTTTTGAGCCAGTTTTTAGAGAATTTGGGTAGTTAACTGCCTTTACAACTAGGATTTCCCAAATGATTTATATAAAGTGAGAATTTTTGAAGTATGTGGTATTTCTGTAGTCTTTGTCAAAGCCAGTTGCAGAGGCAGTCTGCTGAAGACTCTGACTCTTTTCCAGGTGTTGGTGAACTCTGCAGGAGTTTCAGCCTCCACAGATGTTTATACTGCTCCAGCTACAGGCCTCTCTTCAAATTCTGCTGCCTCCACTCCAACCAGTGTCACCACAGCAGCTCCCCCCCAGACAGCAGTTCAACCTGTCATAGTATCTCCCTTTTCTGTGGGGAGGCCAGGTAGAGTGTACGGACTGCAGCCCTGGACTTGGATTTCTAAGTTTTCAGTTATTTTGCCCTCCCTCCCCTCCCCCATCCAAAACAAATGCTAAAAAGTTTAAAAACAGGAATGTCACTTCTTTGGTTTAAAATTATTTTGTTGTTGTTGTAACTTGATTGCTGACTTTTTATTTTGAAGGGCCAGTTGCCCCCAAATTTGCATAGGAATTGGAGGTCTCTGCTTTGGGTTTTCCCCCCTTGCCACCTTTAGCCAAGAGTTTTGCTAGAAAGTTCTTTTTAGAAGACAGAAGTTCATGGCAGCACCCTGGAGTTGAGATACTGTTCCAGAGGCTTTACTGTCTCTTCCAGAAGAGTCACTGGCTGTGATGTTTCAGGATTCACACAAGTGTCCGGTTCACTTTCGTGACCCTCAGTTACTTCTGTGCTTACTTATTTCTGTGCAAGGAGATCAGATTTGTGGTTGGTCACATAGTGCACTTGCCCCCTTAGATGTATTTGCTTTAACATCCTGGAAGTGTCTGTTAAAAAATTTCATTTTCTCTTCTTGCAAGGAGGAATTTTGATGTCTTCTGTAACTCTTCATTTAGCATCCAAAAAACCTCCACCTTCTATTCTGCTCAGTTCTGTCTCACTTTTCTTAACCTTTTTTTTTCTTTTTCTAGTCTGCTTGAGAGTTTAGTCAGCAGAGCTCTCAAAGCTGTCTGCTCACCAGTGCCAACCTGCTTATGTGTTATTCCTTCATACCTAATGAATGTTTAACAGTAGGTTGTCCAAAATATTTTTGGCCTGACGTGTCTTGAACCTTGTCTTGTTTTTGTGGGCTTATTGTCACACTTCTGATGACTTGAAGTGATTAATCTGTTCTCTGTTGTTCTAGGGCAGACAATTATGTAAGAGAAGTCTGGCCTGCCTTCTAATATGGAGAAATGATTGAAAAAGACAGTTTTTTTCTTATCTGGGATATGAAGCTTGCAGATAGACATACAATTAAGGCTCCAGAGATCAGAACCTTCCCATCTGGTTTCAGAATTTCATCTGGACTTGTTTTAAAGTGATTGCTAAAGAGAATTTTGTTAGAGCCTGTGTTTAGGGGCACTGTGGTGATAAAGTGCATGCTTAATTGTGTAACTGAGCACCTTGTTCATTTGACATACCATGGCAAAGTTGACTTTTTGCGTGACATTTGTTTCCTTCCAATTGTAGCAGTTTCTTCGGTGCCATTCCCAACTTACTCAGCTCCTCTTCCTCCAGTGAGTGAGGTGGGAGAAGCTGGTGCTGTTCTTCCAGCTTACTCTTGTGATCCCAGTGGCAGTGATCTGCCTCGAGGTAATGATGGTATTTTGTGCTTTTACTCCTGCTGCTCTTCAGCACTTCTGACTTGTGTTCTCCTTGGAAGCTTGACAGAGTACCAGTAGTGAGAAGAAATAGCTCTTTGCAGCTCACAGGGAGTGAGAAATAATATTATAGATGCTTATGCTAAAACATTTTAATTCCCAGTTTTGAATAGAAAGTTTTGTATCTGACTCAAATGTGTGATTACTGCAGCTCTAGATGGCACCCTAAATAAATGAATGTCAAGGGAGAGGGTGCTTGGCCTATAACATACTGGTTTGTGGCTCAGTAATCGTTTTTCTCATAACTGCTTAAAATAATTGTATTTATAAAGTTGTGCTGTTGCACAGTTCAGTGGGCTGTTTTTGTTGTGCTCCAAGATGTCATTCTGTGGTATTATAAACCAGGGCTTAAGTGTAGGGTCATCTTGTTCCTTGTATGTGTAGCCTTGTCATCAGTTAGGACAGTGTTTGAGGTACATTTCAGCCACTGAGCAATGAGTGTGCAGAGACCAGGCCTGCTGTTTTCACAGGTCCTGCTGCTGTGCTCTTCAGTTACTCTGCTGTCTTGCCTGTGCTCTCAATTCCCTCAAGATTTGTTCATCTTGAATATTCTGTTTTCCACTTCCCTGCTGTGGTACCATCACTCTGGCTGATCCTGTAACATCAGAGTTCATGCTTTTCAGCTCTAGGTGAATGCCCTTAGCTGATGCTTTCAGCACTTGGGAGAATTGGGTGTTAAGTGTGCTGACAAGGAGCTGGAGTGGATGTGGATTAATAACCTCTTCAGACCCCACCTGTAGCTCTTCAGCTGAGTCACTCTGCATAATATTGGCCACGTGCTTTTTCACATAGACTCTAGAATTAGGATCTTAAGATTGCTAATTAATTGCATGTAGCATTTATGTTGTTAGACTATATGATAATCTGAATGGCCTTTAGATTAAGAAATCCAGCAGTTTTGGGGTAGCATAGGGTAAAGTGTGTGGGTGTCCTTGATCTGGAGTTCTGTGTGCTTTGCTAAAGATACCTGCAGGCCTGCTATAGATGGGGGACCCTGACTTGTCAATAGACCTGGACCTGGGAAGAAAACCTGCTGTGTGCCTTAGCATTACTTGTTGTACCTGCATTTGTTCCAGTTTTCATAGCCTCTTGGATCTTGTTTTAATGGCAGTTCGGACTTACAAATGGTCACCTTAGGTGTCCTACCCTTGCTTGGTCCCTTGTATTTGAAGGAGGTGTTGATAAAAGACTGCTTGATGTAAGTGTGTTCCAGAGACTGCAGCAGTGTTCAGGGTTGGCCAGAGCTTCCCATCAGCAGAGTAAAAACTCTGTCATGAGATGAGCTTTTAATCAGCAGTCAGCGTGGTCTTTGTATTTTCATTAGGGGTGGGTAACTTTCTTTGGCTTAGCTATTGCTTCATAAAAGTTGTAGTGTTTTACTGAAGACTTATTTGATTTCTGACATCTAAAGTAGAAATATAAACAAAGACTGGTCTCCTACTGTACATGCTTCTGTTCCAGCATTCCACAGACAGCAGTATTTCCAGTATCAGTGTGTCACTTCAGTCTCTCAGCTCTTCCTTTGTACTGTTATCACTGCTATGAAGCAACTATTTCATTCTGCTCTGATGCTTGCTTTGCATAGATTTGCATAAACAAAGAATAAAATTAGATTTAAAAAAAAAACAACCAACTTGTTCCAAATGTGGATGCAGTTTCAACTAGTTACTAAAAAGTTGGCATTCATGTAGGCCTTTGGGTTATTTTTAATGTTTTAGTGACTGTGGTCAATGTTATAGCCAGAGCACCAACACTTCCAGGACTAAGTAAGCTGACATAAGGATGGATCTGTGTGCACTTCCTAGCTAGTCAATTGTCCCCAAATAGCTGTGGGGATTGTTGGCCTGATCAGATATGCTGAACATTAAAAGAATTGAAAATTGGCAGCAATGATAGAGGAACAAATCCTCATGCATTTTAAGACTGGAGTTTACATCGCTGACATTGTGCCTTCCTGCAGCAAAATCCCCCATGCAGTACCACAGAGGAGCAGGGCTGGGAATGCCTGGGACATGGGTGGATGGGGAAGCACTGTTGATCTAAGGCCCTGTAGAGAATATATGGTAACTCTGAGGTGTTGCTAAATTGAAGCCCTTAGTGGCTTACCCCTTCTGAGTTGTCTCCCTGCTTTCTCTGTCAGCTCCCAGCTGTGCTAGAGCAAAGTTTGTGCTGTGCAGTAGGTGACTTGCTCTTCTGAGCCTTTAAAACAAAGCTGTATTGCAATCTAAGGAATCAGCTTTTCTCATGCATAGTTCCAGAACTGCATCATGAGATTAAACACCTGCTCTCTTTTTTTTTTCCCTTTCAGTGGTCAACTCTAAAGGTTTAAAACTCCTTCACTGTTTTTGGACAGTCAGAAATATGTTTCCAAGTTCAAGACCCTGTTGTGCTTGGAAAGTGGTTTCAAAGTTCCTCCACACATCTGATATTGTTTCTCAACATTTCATGTACTTGCCTGGGGACAAATGATTCAGTACATGGAAGACAGAAGTAAAAGACTATTTGCAAGAAAGCAGGGAACTGAGTACCCTTGTGAGGAAGGGGAAGGAAGGAATATGTTCTTATTCCTCCTTCCCTGCCTCTGTTTTCTCACTTGATGTAACAACTGGGAGACCCCCAAAACTGGGTGGGAAGGTCTGAGGGTCGTTGCGTGTGTGGTCCCCATTGACATGTCTCTGTGGCCATGGCTCAACAAAGCTCTAAAGGTGGAGGTGGTGGCAGAGGCAGACCAACCAGTGTGAAGCTGGAGTCTCTGGAGCTGGCCTGTAGTCTCGTGTGCCAGCCCAGTAAGGGTATTTGCAGTATGTGGGCAGTGTACAAACTGTGGATGTAACAGCTTTGGTGAATTGTCACTGAGAGGTGTATGAGAAGGCTGCTTCTGCCTGTCTGCATGCTTCCAAACCCTTTCTCGTTTCTGTAGTGAGGGAGGGAGGGCCTTTAGTGGTCAGCTTCGTTTTGGGACTCATCTGATTTCTATTTGAGAAAATACTTTTTCCTTTAAAACCTCAAGATTAACGGGAAGCCAGATTTGCTTAAATCCTAGTTCCTTAGACAATGGAGACTTGTAACAACATTGACAGTTACCACTTGAGTAATCAAGATGAGTAAGCCAAAATTAAAGCTAATGTAGTCACTGAAGTTAAATAATAAGTTGGTCAGACAAATGCTCTGCTATTGCACAAAGGTCTAACTGGATTAAGGTAAAAAGATAAACTAGCATTAACAGCTACTTCTATTCAAGATACATTGTTTACCCTTGAAACTTTAAAAAAAAAAAAGGTAGTGCTAAGATACTCTTATTCATTAAGTAAGAGTAGCTAAAAGTAAAATATTCTTAATGTGTGTAAATTGCTTTTGCTTCTTGGTTTTTATTCCTCTGCTCTTTAACGTCATATCCTTTCATTTCAGATACAAAGGTCTTGCGGTATTACTTTAATCTGGGATTGCAAGTAAGCACTTTTTAAAATGAGTATAGTACATTGCCTGTAAGAACTGCTGGTTTTTTTTGACAAATATAGTAATGTATTGAACACTTCTAAGTGTGCTAAATGTGCATCCTGTGCTCCTGACTGTTAATACATGTTGGCTTGCTTGGTGGAGATCAAAGTGTGGCTCAGGAAGTGAAGTTCTAACTCAAAATATGAAGCATGCTGTATGTATATTAAGTTATTTTACTCTGGGTCGTGGTGGTGGTTTTTGGATTTGCTTTTGTTTTTGCAGGGGATGGTGAATAAATATTGTTCTTTCAGTGAAGATAGGGCAGAGAACCTGAGCCATTCTTAAGAAACTTTGTGTACTTAGACAAGACATCAAAGACCACTTAAAGATGTGTGGTTTGAGTCTTCTAGGACTTGTACAGATGTGTTCAGACTGGTTAGCACCATTTCTTTGTGTTCTGGAAACTCTTGCTCTGTTGAAGAGTTGTTTCTCTTCTGGTAGTCAAATGCAGTGTCAGTCTGCTGGTCAGGGAAGTAAAAGAAGTAATGTGAACTTTTTCAAACGAAGAAATGTTAAAAATCTTTTTGAATATGACCAAGCCAGTAGGTGGGAATGTTCTTCCTCTGTAAATACTTCTGGCATAACAACAGTGTGGAACTGAGCTGGCCGTTGCTGTGTATTGCAATATCATTTCTGGTAGGTGGTATTTTTTTATTATTATTTATTTGTTTGGTGTTTCAAGGGGCTAGGAAGGTAAAAAATGCACTTTTTCCTAACTTTAGATCTGAACCAGTAGCGATTTGGAGGAGGGGAGTATGTGCTTATATGCCTGACCTTGTGTTTTTTTTTTCTTTTCCTCTAAGTATTGCCATCAGAGCTATTGGCCTTCCATGGTGTATGTACAGCCAGTGCTGCCTCCATCTTCAGTAGAAGTTTATCCAGCATATGCTGAGCCAGCTCCTGCCTTGGATCAGTCAGTACCTCAGATCTTCCCTGATGCTCGGCAGACTGAAGTCCAGGTTCCCTTGGAAGCACCAGCAAATGGTTGGTATTTGAGTCCTGCTGTGTTCATAGTAATGAAAGACTAAAGGCCATGAATGTGGTTAAAGTCTGTGTATGTGCATTTTGTTCTGTTTTTTAAGGTAACTTTCCAAATGCAGAGCCTCCACCCCTGTCCTATGGAGCAGTGTATTACCCAGTTGTGTCAGACCCCTTCAGCCAGCAGTCTCTGCCTGGGTTTGACACTGTGGTACCTGCCTACCACTATGTTAGTGCCTGGCACCCAGTAAATCCTGCACATGGAAGTTCTCCACAAATGGCCAACGCTGTGAGTTCAGGACCACCACACCAAATCAGCTATATTGCCTCACCTAACCCTGTACCTCATGACATGCCTCAAGGAATGTAAATCTGGGAGCTGGAAACTCATTCTTGGTTTCTCGTTTCTTGTTTGTCAGCTATTGTTAATATATTTTTGTAAATGTTATCCTGCCTTAGGGGGCTGAGTCAGTTGATCAAGCTGCATTCATATTTCATGTTTCTCTTTAGGTTTATGCTCCTAGTTGACAAGATGTTGTTTTAGTTGATTAGGGAAGCATAGGAAAAAGGTACACACAATCTATAATGCAGGGAACACAACCTGAATGTGGCTGCATAAAGTATGTGGAAAAGTATGTCACTAAAGGCCTGTGTCTCTGAGAGGTTGCACTGAACACTTGAACACCTGGTTCTTGTTGAAACACTGAAATAGGCTGCCACTACAACTATAGATAAAAATTTGGCATAGAGTCATTAGAGGGTGAAAATGTTTAAAATAAGTTGGCTTTCTCAGATTTTGCAAAACAAAGCTGCTTTGCTGCTAGTGGTCACATATTTATCATAGCTGTATTTCTTCTGTCTACCTTCATAGTGCATAGATTTCATGACTGGAAATACAAGAATAACGTTTTGATCTGTTGTATATTTGTAAGATTTGTTTTGTGAAAGCTGTTGCACATATGGTGATAGTCTTTGGTGGTTAATTTGCACTGACAGCACAAAATAAAAGCATTGAACATGTGAAAATGAGTGGTCATTTATCACTGGCAGATAATGTTCCTGACAATTAGTTATCCCACAGCCTGGACCAAAGAAATGTGGTTATGTGAGGCTGCTCCAGCCCTCTATGAAATGGTAGCAAAAGCTTTCAGTGTGAGAGTGGAGTTGTCATGGTTTGAGATAACTTACTGGCAAGGTAGGAAAAGCTATGAACAAAGGATATAAAAATGTGTAGCCCTGTCCTGGCTTAACAAACACGGGCACAAGTGCAGGTTGTGTTGGCTCAGTGCCAGAGGCCCTGAAGAACAACCTTGACTTGCACATGAACTCAGCATTTCAGTCTCTGAGCCTGATTCTGAAAGCTATGGCTGCCAGATCTTGTAGGGGATTTGAGTCTCCTAAATCCAAACACAGCCTGCCCTGGATAAGGAGATGAAGTCAGGAGCTTCAGACGGTGGCACAATTGCCATTTCACGAAACTTAAATCAACTGTCTGGGCCCATCCTGACTTTTTAAAATAAATTTTCCCTTGTGCATAGCTAAGTGGTGGTGAAAGGGGGATTAACTGCAGAACTAGGAGGGGAAAGAATTATATTTCCTTCAGTATCCCTTTTAAGTAAAAAACAGGGGGAAAAGTGACTTCCTTAGAGTTTTGTCTTGAATTCATGAAGCACTTTTGGAGTTGACACTGTTTCCATATAACTCCTGAGACTTTCCCCTCCTCCCTGCCCTTCCCTAAAATAATGTAACCCTTTAGTGGGAGGGTTGCAAGCTCAGCTTTTGGTTTGTCTCCTCTGATTTCTAATTGCTGTACATTTAACTTGGTAATTTAATGATGGCTTTTCAAGATGGAGCAGCCAGGTAAAAAGCCCAAAGCATGATGAAAATTACCCCTGAATAGCTAATTTGAGTATGAGCTGCTATTTTTAAAGCAAAACATGCACACAAAATTATTTCTAGAGTAATTGGTGGCCTTTGTATTTCTGCCTCTAGAGGAGCACTTGACTTGCATGGACATTTTTTGAGAAGATATCACAGTATGCATTTTATGAACTTTAAAGCAGCACAGACTTAAGCACAGTGTCCATGCTGGAGTCATGAAGTGTGTTTCCACCTCAGTCACAGGTGTGCCATCTGTCATATCTCAAACAATTGCTGTCAAGCACTGAAGGGAATATCTTCCACTTTCAGGCTTTAGCTATGAATAATACCTCCTTTCTTCCACTGTCACTGAGACAGCCTTGCTTTTTTCTACACAAATGGTTATCACATTAAAGTACTGGTGGTTTTATCTTCTGGTACTAGTTTATGTCTTTTTTTTTTAAGTAGGAAAACTGACTGATAATTTGGGTACAGAGTCCTGATTTTGGTATGGTTTTGCTTACCCATCTAAGACCTGGATTATTCAGCATTAGCCAGGGCTATCATGGCCTTGTTGGCCACATTAATGTAATTGTTATGGATGTCAATTGATATGTCTTATTTATGGATTTGATATACAGTGTTGTCTCTGACTTGATATATGTTAAGGCTGTTAAACCTTAAAATCAGCTTTTTTAACTACCAAGTGTGGGCTGTGGGGAACAGTTAGCAGTGTGTCCTGGAGCTGGTTGATGACTGCTCTCCCTGAATCAGGAAATGCCACCTCTTTATTAACCACAAAAGAGCTTAGAATGGTACAGAAATCAAGGTGAATGCCTGAGTGTTTTATTTCAATACTGTTTTCCAGAGTTGGGTTGCAATACAGTAGCTCTGCATCACTTAACTGAAACAGCTCCCAAAAAAGCTCCAGTTCTACCTAAAACACAGCTCACCTGCTTGGTACTTCAGTCATTTCTTCAGCTAGAGCTTGCCAGCTCTGGCTGCAGCATCCCTCTACTAACAGTACTCCTAGTTTTAGGGTTGAGTGTTCCAGTGGCTCATCAGCCCTTTCAGAGTCTGTAAGATAATTCACATCAAAATGACACCAAGTTCGGGGGGTTGCTTTGAGAGGTGATTTATTTTGGGGGGGTGGTGGTGTTTGTCTGTGGGTCCCAAGATGCAGTATCAGGGTCTTTTTTTTTTTTTGTGTGTGTGTGGAATCCAGTGTCAGCCTGGTCATCTTCCAAACCTGTTTAGTTTGGCATACATTTGATAGTTGCTGTTACAGTTTGGTACCAGACCAATGTTCTGGGTTTTTCATGCCCAGCAGAATTGCTGTGAATCACAGTATTGGGATACAATTTAAAGCCATAACCATATTTTACCTTTAATTAGAAGGATGAAAAAATCCATGAGTATTGATTTCTACTTGGAACAATCTTTTTCTTTCACATCAATGTTTTTATATTTTTGTTTTCGTTCTTTATTGGGATTCTTGAAGCATGTTGCCTAATAATAAATGTTTAAAGCAAGGATTTGATCCTGGAAAGTGTTTGGTTTTTTGTTGTTGTTTTTTTTTTTTTCCATTTTTCTTTATTTTTTGTAGATGGCTTTTCAGCCTTGAAAAGGGAGACAGAAGAATCATGCAGGTAAATTTGCATTAGTCATACTTGCCACCTCCTTTATTTCACTGAGGGTTTTTATAGATGAAAGGCAGGGGCTCAAATTAAATTAACACCTGAAGGCTGTGCAGTAAGGCTTCATGAACTGGCAGTGCCATGGACTGCTGTCCTTAGATGTGAGCACTTCTGGTTTGGTGGCTGTTAAAACCAGCCTTAGATCCAAGCCTTTTCCTTAGCAACGGGATGAGGAACATGGCCTTGAGCTGGGCCAGGGAAGGCTCAGGTTGGACATCAGGAGGAGTTTCTTCACAGAAGGGGTTGTTAAACATTGGCAGGGGCTGCCCAGGGAGGTTTGGAGTGCCCATCCCTGGAGGTGTCCAAGGAAGGACTGGCCGTGGCACTCAGTGCTCTGGGCTGGGGGACAAGGTGGGCATCGGGCACAGGGGGGGACTCTGGTCTTGGAGGTTTTTCCAACTTCAGTGGTTCTGGGATTCTTCTGAATCTGCAGGATAAGAAAAGCAGTACTTATGCTTTGGGATGTGAGTTTCTTGTGGTTTTAAGTATTTCAGTATCTCTGAAGTGCTGCAAGTCTTGCTGCCCTCAGAAGGAGCAGACTGCAGTGGGACTGCATTCGCCTCTGTGCTGCCAGACAGCAGAGTGCCAGTGTGTCTGAACACCACTCACCACACAGTTAGGTAAAAACCTGATATTTTGGCAGAGGTGCTGATCTTGCACCAAAGGCCATGCCCAACCTGTGCCCCTTGCAGTCAGGCTGTGAGTGCTGCCTGCCTGTGTGTGCCCCACTGCTCCTGCCCTGCACTCTGCAGCCAGAGCAGCACCAGTCCTGCCTTAACAGCCACTGCACCACTGCTGTTGGGCAGCCTTTGTGATGTCTTTTGAATTGCAAAATCCATCTGTTATTGAAGATAATGATTATAAATACTGTAGAGACAGACCACGCTGACTCTGCCTGCCAGCAGCATTTGCCCACCGGGTTATCGCTCGCTAGAGCTCGTGTGCTGTTTTCCCCTTGCTCACATAACCAAACCAATTTCTACAGCAAGTTGTTTTTCTAGCTCAGTTGGGCTTTTTTACAATCCCAGCTTCCATTTCTCTCTGCAGTGCTGCTGGCTACCTTTTTATTTTATAAAATTACACCATCAAAGGCTACATTATGTATGGAAGATATTCAACATACAAACCCAGAGCCAGACTTCCGAGTAGCTGCTTTTTTCCATGAGGAAAATAAAGCTGTTGAACCAGGACTTTATAGCTTTGAAGTAAGATCAGAGATTAATTTTTGGAGGGCAGGCCTGTATCCAGGAGCTGCTACTCAAGATCAAGTCACTGCTGCTCACCAGATTTCCCAGCCAGCTGAGTGTGAGTTGCAGCACACAGGGAATGGCTCAGCCAGTACGAGCCACAGGCTCAGAGCTTGTACCAGGCACTGATTGCAGCCTGCTCCTCTCTGCAAGTGGGGTGATCTGCTGCACAAGGAACAGATGCCTGAGGTGTGACAGGGTGGTTTGATGTGTTAGACTCAGTTTATGGCAATACTTCTATTACAGATGGTAAATCTTGCCCTCCCTGGGGCAGGTGAACATTTTGCCACTAGCTTTGTGGTGCTGGGGTTTACCCCAGATAAGTGTGACTGTGATAGCTGCTTGACTTGGTTGTGCTAGAGAAAAAAAGGGTCTTCTAAGAGAAAGTGGAATATCCTCTAATGATGAAATTAATGGACCATCTAACTCCCTCTACCCTCTCCTTTATGTATTTTTCCTGTTCCCTACCCTCCCTATTTGCATTTTCCAATCAAACATAAACCTGTGGGGTTTGACCCTTTTAAAACCAGTACTTTGTTAATATTTGTCGTAGCTGAAAGCAAAAAAAACTGTTTATTTTGATGTTTGTGATCGTTATGTGAATGTGTGATTTGTGTAACTTTTCAGGAAGTGCAAGTAAGAGGAGATGAAATACACTGCAAAGCTTCTTCATAGAATGGGTCAGGATGGAAGGGACCACAGTGGGTTATCTGGTCCCACCTCCCTGCTCAGGCAGGGTCACCCTAGAGCACATTGCACAGGATTGCATCCAGAGGGTTCTGGAATATCTCCAGTGAGAGACTCCACAGCCTCTCTGGGCAATCTGTTCCAGTGCTCAGTCCCCCTGTCTCCCACATCCCGGGTCAGCTCTGGTGTTTTCTGCTGCAGAACATCTGTCTGCTCTGCAGGGACACAGAGCAGGGGGAAGTCATTGTCATGTGAAGTTCAGTCCCTGCTTCTGCTGTAGGAAGCACAATTGTGAATTCACAGTGCCTTAACTTTGAACTTCTTGGCTTTCTGATGCGAGTGGGAATGTGCCCACCTAACTTCAGAAAGTCCCTGTCTGTTAAAAAAAAAAAGGGTAGCAGCCTTTAGTCTTTGTGTGGGTGTTTAAAATTCTGTAGCCATACATCACTGTGGTGCTGGGTTCTGCTGCAGCTCTTGCCATGGACAGTGTGTCAACATTTCTCTGTGT